TTTGTTGTTGGGTCATTGTTAATAACTACGCAGGCTATGCGATTAATTTAAATTCGGTAACATAAGCACAAAGTTTATTTAATTTCAGGGTGTAATTTGACCGGAATTGTGTTTTTGGGTAAAATTGCTCAATTTTTCAGGTAATTTTTTTATTTTTCTCAAAAAGTATTTATTCGATTTTGTTCAAATTTAGTATATCACTTAAACTAAGATGTAGTAATGCCCGGAATTAAAATAAAGTAAAAATATACATAATTTTGTAAATTATGACAAAAAATGTAAAAAATACGCAATTTTTTTTAGTTTTATAGCCGCCATTTTGTTATTTTTGAATATTTAACCATCATATCTCCCAAAATAATAGTCCGCAACATTTATTATCAAAATCTTTTTGAAATTTTAAATTATCTCTTATAGTTTATTAATAATTAGAGTTTAAAGTTCAAAATTTTGGTAAATTTTACGTTTTTATTAAAAATTCTCATTTTTTACTTAAATTTATTTATTTCCTCAAAAAATACTTAATCAATTTTGTTCAAATTAAGAACATAGCTTAAACTTAATTGTATTAATGCTCTCAATTAAAATAAAGTAAAAATTTTCATTATTGTTTAAATTATTGCAAAAAACGTAAAAAAAATACGCAATTTTTTCATGTTTTACTGCCGCCATTTTGTTATTTTCAATTACTAAACCATCATATATTGCCAAATAATACTTTTACCAATTTACTATCAAAATGTATTTAAACCTTTAAATTATCATTAATAGTTTATGAATAATTAAAGTTTAAAGTTCAATTTTTCGTCAAATTTTTACATTTTGCGCTGTTTTACGAAAAACTGACACTGTAAACATCAAATAAATCACATTCACGTATGGCAAATGTAATGAAATACACCCTCAGTGCATTAGGGGTGAGTGTATACGGTGTGAGTATCTTTAAAGGTCTTTAACAGATACTTGTCGATCAAGTCTCGAAGTACTTGGGTACAAATTTTCCGAGGGTAAAATTTCCCTCCTCAAGTGATCATCAATCATTCGCACGTTTCCTAAACTGACATATTTCCAAGCACGAAAAAATTCCGCTTCAAAACCCGCGCAATATATGTACATTTATTAACATTCGCCACTATTGCAACATTACAACAACTTAAAAATCCCCGGTTTGTATGATTTAGTTTTACAACGCGTACAACTGTTATTCGCTTCAATTTGACCGGTCGGAAAGTAGGAAAATGAAAAGGCAAAGAAAAGGTTTGCGCCTCGGGGCACTTAAAGAAGGTCAAGCGACGAGGGACGCTCCACGATCGTCCGGGTCATCTTCGTCACGTTTATTCATGAGACACATTCACGAGAAGGATTCTTGCGGGGTTGTGGGTCTCTTGTTCTTGGATTTTCCATCACTAGCGCGTATATTGCTACCAGTTTCGAAATTCGATAAAATTCAATGGCGCAGCGTCCCTTTTCGAAACTCTTGGCGTTTAGTCCCCTTTCTACTGCAACATCAATTCACCCTTTAGCGCGCGTTGCTACTGTACAAAGCGATACGAAACACACGCGAGAAATTCAAACGAACTACGTAACCTCAATTTTGAACTATTCCAACCTAGAAATCAATTTGGTATGTTCCTATCGACTTTTTATGTTATTCTCCCAAAACGGCTAGGTGTTGGATTGTGAGAATTGGGTTCAAAAATGTCGTCGGCGTAATGATGGCCCACCCGTGTTATGACTTGGAAAAGTTCGTGTTATTTTTATGCGCTTGTGGGCTTCGAATGGAAAAGTTAAGCATTTACACGCGAAAAGGTACGATTCAAATCGAAATTGATTTTTAAGAATCAACATTCTCGTCTTTTTTTATTATTATTACCGGGCGTGGAGGTTAGAATACAGTATATAACCTTAAAACACACATTTTTTTAATGGTGCGTGTCAAAATGGCGCGCGGGGACCATTAACGCCATATTTGTTTTTGTCGCGCTGCTGATAGTTGTTATTGTTGCAGCATATGCGCGTGCTTAATACGGAAACAATTTTTATTTATGTAGCCGGCCAGCGCGCGCTAATGTCCGACAGCACGGAAAATATTAACACACGTAAACGAGATTTAACAAGAAAATTATGCCCCGCATGCGTGATTTATAGCGTGCGACGTTTTTCTTATTAGTTTTATTGTGTTACGTAATTTTCCCGTTGAGCACATAAAAACAAGATGGCGACGCGGGTCAAAACTGAGCGAATGTGATTTCAAACATTAATTTTTAGATCCTATTAAGTTCGTTTTTATTTTTGTACTGTATGTAATATAAAACGAGCATTTTTTACGCGCGCGTTGAGATTTTAATTGCTCGGAATGATACACGTCGCTGAGAATAATGCAATTTGCATATTTTACAACTATTCAACTTCATATTCCGAGCGCGCATGATTTTATTCTTTAATTTCCACAAACAAAAGGCAATTATTTCAGTTTTTCTACGCTTGTTACATTTAAATAGCAGTGGTTTTAGGTTAGGTTTAACCGGATGTGACGTTTGTGACGTAGTGGTGCGCCATCTATGCACGAAAAGCGAATTCATCACGATTTGAAATAATAAAACGTTCATTTAGTTTGAGAAATGAAAGTCACGTAGCTAACGACCCGTCGCGTGCCTGGATATCCTGGATGCTGGAATCTGGGATGCTAAGGTACCCTTTCTACTGCGACAATATGTCATCACAGTTCTTATTTTTGCAAAATGGCGCAAGTGTGTGACATATTAATATTGGAGTTCGCGGCGACGGCGACGAAATGGAGGTCATTTACAAAATTCTACGCCCCGCAAACGCCGCGACCGAAAGTCATTTATTTATTTTTCAACGCTTTATCTATTCCCGACGCTTGTAACGTTTCTTTTCTCCCACTTTGCAGTTAAAGAAGTACTTTATTCTTTCGTTCTTTTTATTATAAAAACTTTTACAAACTTAAATTGCTATCAAATTGTATTTCGCCAACACTCACTAGTACATTTGTACTTAAAAAAACGTAAACAACATTCCAATACAGTGTTTATCACTGCAAAATTGATAAAATGTAAAAATTATAAACAAATATTTGAATTTTGCGTGTTGACTATAGGCAACTCATTCGACAGCAGAAAATATCAAAACCAAAACACTAACATAACCTGTATGAAATCAGCTAAACGAAAAGTCATCTTTCTTAAACAAGTGAAGAAAAGATTAATTATGAGTGCTACAGCTGTCCTAGCAATACGACTTGATAAGAAGTTAGAAAACCGTGTGAAAGTCGATGTGGATCTCGAAGAAAAAATAAGTTTACTCAGAGAACAAGCCAGCAAAACTGTTCAGCGACCAGTGCAAGACTTAGGTATGTGTTTTTCTTATTTAAATATGAAATAAACAAATATTTTTAATATTTATATTATAGATTTGGTCTATGCTGGAGCAGAATTAGAAGATCAACACACCCTAGCATTCTACAGCTTTAAATCCGGTCGCACCATTCATGTTCTCACAAAAGACAAACCTAAACCTTTAAGGGTGCCGAAACCTTTATCAGATGCTGATATGCAGCGATTTCTTAGTGCTATGGAAGAATATGGGCATAAAAACTTTGTACAGGTATTTATAAATGTGATATTTTAAGTTTTATTGGTGGCAATTGATGAAAATGTGATTTTGTTGATTATTTTGTTGTAATCTGAATAATTGTTATTATTTTTGCTTGAAATTTATTTATATTATGAAGAGACACATAATGAGTATTTGTGCAAATTTTGAAGCATATCGGACAAGTAGTTTTGATAAAAATTAAGAAAAACTATGAAAAATTTAATTTTTTATGAAAAAAACATCGAAATTTTCAGTTTTTTATGAGAAAAACGTCGAATATTTAATTTATTTATGAAAAATCCTCGATAATAATTGATTTTTTACATTTTATGATAAATACAATCGAATTTTACAAATCATATTTGTAAAATCTTGCATCACGCATGTTTGTTTAGAAATTTCCAAGAAAAGAAGCAATCACAAAGCTCCTCGCCGCTGTGCCAGACATCTACGACGACACAGCCGCCCTGGGCCTCCTCAACGACCCCGAAATGATAGTTCTCTTTTCAGACCCTGATGTCCTGCGCAAAGTCCTCGATTCCCACCCAATAATCGCCGAAGTCCTGCCGATAATCACCACCTACCTGCGTGAAAACCCAATCACCCCCAGCTCCAGCTCCACTTCCAATCAAGCCTCCACAAGCACAGCCAACGCATACTCCCTCGAATCCCTCTCAGACGATGAAGACATGGATAACAACCCTCTACCTACAACAAACAACGATACAACACGCGAAGGAACCGCCTCAGCACCTCGAAATTCTTCATACGTTGCAATAACCACCGAACAACTCTCCGCAGCGCTTGCAAACGCCAGAAATTTCAGCTCGACAGACACAAATTCATCTTCGGCATCTGCTTCGAATGCTAATCATACATCCCCACCGATTATCACGAATGAAATGTTTGGTAATGCGTTACAACAAGCTTTTACAAGTGTTAACAATACGAATAACAGTAATACAACACCAAGAAGTAATCCAATCGTCGATGATGAAAGTTTAGAGAGTTTACGCACACGTCTCCAGCCACAATTACAACAAATGCGCGACATGGGCTTGCTGGATGAAACACAAAACATCCGAGCTTTACAATTGACATCCGGTGATGTCCAAGCGGCAGTCGAGATGGTTTTCGGCAACGATATCGATATGAACTTTTAATTTCGGTTACAACTTGCACACATTCCACAAACGAACAGAACAGAACTTCTTTCATAAATCGGTGCAATTGCAGCTGTTTAATTTATATATAACAATTGTATATTGATAAGAGATAAAAATAAAGGAACTAATTTGATTACTCGATTAAAATCACACAAGAAGCGCAACGAGTTCTCTCTAACACATCGCACATGTCGGATTCTAGGCTGCATACATGGATAGTATCCAATATCATATATTGTTTAAATATTTTGTATCATAATCTTTGTGTGTTTTTTGTATGTTTATATCCTAATAGAAGTCTGCAGGTCTTCGTCTTCGCTGGGCTCGACTGCGCGACGCACATATTGAGGTCCTTCGGTTTCACCACGCACGTAGGGCTCGTTCACGTTGACTTCGGTTATGCCAGAGCCGGGGATTTCGAACATGGGTTCCAGGAGTAATGATTCCTGCAAGAAAATTACATGGGTATGTGATTTTTATGGTTTTAAGTGTGTTTGTTTGTTTGTTACGCTTTTACGCGGAAACTATTCAATGGATCATCATGAAATTTTGTATAAATATTCTCAATAGGATTGAGAAGAATATAAAACAATTTTTGATTGGATATTATAACGCAAAGGGTGTTAAATAGGTGTTGGAAGTTGATATACCGCCAGATGGCGCTAAAGTAAATATTACTTAAGTTTTTGTTAAGAACTAAGCAGAAAAAGTTATATTTTAATGACTTACTAAAATAGCACGTAATCCTCTAGCACCGGTTTTCCTCTCCATTGCCAAATGTGCGATGGCATTCAACGCTTCCGGTGTGAATGTCAATTCGCATTGATCCATCGCCAAAAGTCGTTGATATTGCGGGATTAACGCGTTTTTCGGCTCGCTGAGTATCCGCACCAACATTTTCCTATCCAGACTGTGGAAGGGTACCAAAACAGGGAATCTTCCAACAAATTCCTAGCAAAAAACATAAATTTTAACATTTCTACACAAATTTTCTAATATATTATTTACTTACAGGAATCATACCGAAATCAATGAGATCCCTAGCTTGAACTTGCCTTAACGACAAGTCGCGCTCTTGATTTTCCTCCTCAGCGGACAAATCCGACTGATTCTGCGCTTGTTGAGAAGCTGCTCGACGTCCCTGATTGCCGGAAACTTGCGCACCGAAGCCAAAAACCTTTCAAAGGTAACCAAAAGTAAAAAAATTAATATTCCCCAAAAAATTTTACATCTAAACTTACATTTTCATTATTTCTACGCGCGATTAACCGATCCAACCCATTATAAGCCCCACTAGCAACGAATAAAATATTCGTCGTGTCCACCTGTATCGTTTCCCCTCTCAACTTCCTCGGTGAATTCCTCTCAGGTACATTTACAACCGTACCTTCCAACATCTTCAACATGCCTTGCTGTACACCCTCACCGCCAACATCACGCAATTGATGTATACCGGGCACTGCGCCGATTTTATCGACTTCATCCAAGAAAACTATACCGATTTGCGCCCGGTCCACACTATATCCTGCATCTTGCAGAAGTTTACCGATTACACTCTCGATATCTTCACCGACGTAACCCGCTTGTGTGAGGGTGGTGCAATCGCAGATGGCGAAAGGAACATCTAAGCATTGGGCTATTGTTTGGGCCAGCAGGGTTTTCCCGGAGCCAGTTGGGCCTAGTAGCAGGATATTGGACTTTTCTAGTTTTAATTCGTGCGTGGTGCGGTCCAGGATGTCCGAACCTCCGGTGCGGGACTCTGTGGGTTGTTGTTGACCAGCGGCCATGTTGAAATTCATCGAGCCAAGGCTTCCAATTCCTGTCATAGGTGGTAGGTCTGAATATTTGCAATGATAATGGATTTAACAGATAGAAAAACAGTAAATTTTGGATTTAGAGTTTCTCAAAGCATGAAAATACAGGGAAATGGTTTTGAAATACCGGTTTTTCAACCAAAACGAACGAATTTGAACAGTTTTCGCGGTTGTATGTAGACTAAACTATAAAAATCTTATTACCTCGGTGAGAAAAACTTGTATGAGGTCCATGCTCCATCACAGCCATGTCTTGACGAGCCCCTGGACTATTATTGGGGCTGTTATTATAGATTCGTTTATAATGATTGTAAACAGCCACGGATAACACCTAAACATTACAAAATATCAACAATTAATACTTGTAAACACTGAAAATGATTAAATTTTTCATACTTTTTTAGCATGTTCCTGCCCAACAACATGCTTGTTCAAATACTCGAAGATCTTCTTCGGTGGCGGCGGAGGTTTGCGATAGAACCCCGTCTTGTTATCAACGCCTTCCTTCTTCTTGCTGTCCACCTCGCTGAGGACGACAAAGAAGTGATGGCACTTCTCGCACTTGACGAAGCGCGTCGAGCTGACGAACGTCTCGACGTGCGTGCAGGGATCGCCGCACTTCGGGCAGGAGAGAGTGTTTTTGTTTTTGCCACCGCCGGCGCCGCCAGTTGCCGATGCATCTTTGCCGCCGCCGCCAGGGAGATTCGGCGGCGGTGGTGGCGGTGTGGTATTGCCGGTGGTGTTATCACCGCCGGGCGCTGCTGACTTCAGCAGTTGCTGGCATGTCGCTATCTGCCTCTTCGGCACCGATGTGTAGGTGAATAGTGGAATAAAACCTGCAACGGTAAGTCACACACTCAGGTTTTTATTTATTTATGCAGTTGAAAAGATGCCAAGTGTATTTGTTTGCCCTTGAAATTTGTTTTTGGACTTGCATTGCGTAGGTATAACCGTGTCAATGTCACTGCCTTTGCTTAATTTCATTTTTTACTCTTTTGGTATTCGCGGGGACCTTGAATGCCTCGAGCATTGCCATGACCATATGGTTTTATCCTCATTTTTATTATATTCACACATTTAACATCATTTTGAATGATTTAAATCAATGTTTTCATATGGTACCCTTAAATGACCTTGAAAACTGTCAAAAAGGGTTCCAAAACATAACCTAAACTCTTTCCTCATGAAAAACATAAGTAATTTTATAAATTTACTTACAATTCATGTCAATTTTACATTTTATCCTAATTTTTATCACATTTACTCTTTAAAAATGATTAAATTTAAGGTTATAATCCAGTGCCCCTAACATGACCTTGACCAATGTCACAAATGTCAAAAAAGCACGCCTAGGTTATGTTTTTAACCAATTTCGTGAATTTACTTACGATTTGTTGTAACTTTCGAATTCCGCACCACTATCGCCAATTTGCCAGCACTGGCCAGCTTGCATCTGACACTCGACATGCTCGACAAGTGCTTGTTAACCAAAAATAAAAATAAAAAATAAAGACTTGTTGTGTTTGCTAGTCACACAGCACACATGAGGATGGCAGCAGGTTGTAAACTGCAGCAGCAATATGAAAAATTCGTTCGTCGGGTTTGTTGCGATTTCAAGGCCCGCGAGTCCACTCTCCGCGAACGCGTGTGTGACGCAATCAACAAAGACTTGTTTTCGTCGTCTGGAAATTGCGCTTTCCAAACTATTTCACCCAAAAACTGTTGATAGCAGTGCGAATCGCTGGTTATTTACGTGTTAACACACTGGACACTCGCCGCTAACACATCCAAGTTGCCGTCTCTTTGTTATCCTTATCACAGATCGTATTTTTATAGTGTGTGTATATATTTTTTTAATTTCGTGTACACTGTGTATGCGTAGAAGTGTGACTTTGTGACTTCACGACTTTGTTACGCGCTGCGTTATTAAACTAACCGCGCGCGCGCGAATTTAATTATGTAGTACGAAGAATTTTGGTAAATTTGCTAATTACTGATCGATCTCATCAGTGCGCCATTATCGTCGTGTGGCGATGTTTACTTATTATCGTTATCAACGACCGCGACTTTGACAGCATGGAAAATACGATTTTTTATTTTGACAGAACACGAGCGGGCATCATCGGGAAATGTCGTGAATAAATTTTCAAACATAAATACGAATATTTTTGTTATTTTTATGTTTAAACCCTATTAAATAACTTAAATATTACCAATAATTAATAATAATATTAATTAAACTATCTCATACATTGATATTAATATTATTTAAAGAATATTTGACATAAAATTTAAGTTGGTACCGCACTGCGCAGTTTATGAAATCACGCGTTGAGATACGACGTAAATGTTTTGTAAATCGAGCCAAAAAAACAATTATGAGTTTCAGTGAGTTTGGCATGCATTAGTAAGCATTTATTTATTCAAATTCATGTTGTCATGCAAACAACAAACAGGTTACAGTGCTATATTAATATTCATACTTAGCTGTACATGTGGTTGCCTATGTAGAACAAGCGTCTTTTTTCACAAACCGTCACGCCGATTCTCGCTCCGCACTAAAATTGAATTTTCTTCAAGAAATCCACGAAATAACCCTGGTAAGTGATATCAGTAGATAGACAATTATTTCTTCTTCAAAATGACATATAATTCACTACGGAGACTTCGAGATTACAAAAGTTATCTTAAAATTAAACTTTTTCAATCATGATGGAAGACGCGCCACCGCCGCCATTACAACTCGACGCAACGCCAATTTCACCTCGTTTCAAATTGTGAACCAAATGTACAATAATCCTTGCTCCCGACATCCCCAGCGGATGTCCTAGACTAACCGCACCACCGTGAATATTAACTTTAGCAGCATCTAGGTTTAAAAGTTTACGATTCGCCAGCGGTACGACACTGAACGCCTCATTTATCTCCCACATTGCGACGGATTCTTTATCAACACCTGTTTTATTCAACAAGGCGGCGATACTCTTCGCTGGAGCCATTGGGAAGTGAATCGGAGCAATCGCAGCATCAGTATATCCAATCACCTTGGCCAGAGGTATCAAACCAAGGCGATTCGCTGCTTCACGACTTGTAAGTATCAACACAGCTGCACCATCATTCAACGTAGACGCATTTGCAGCAGTAACAGTTCCGCCATCTTGTTGGAACACAGTTGGGAGTTTCACCAGCTTATCAAAATCAACCTTTTTATACTCTTCATCTTCAGTGATCAACACATCAGCGCCTTTTTTATTATTAACATCGGGTACTTGCACTTCTACTAACTCTTTATCAAAGAGTTTCTTTTGGTAAGCATCTTGCGCACGTTTATAGCTGTTAATCGCGTGTTCATCTTGCATCTCACGGGTGATGCCGAGCTTTTTTGCTACATTTTCCGCGCAATTCCCCATGTGTATTTGATTATAAACATCTGTAAGTCCATCGAAGATGATTCCATCTACAAGAGACACACCACCATAAGGAGTAGGTCCTCTTTTCAAGTAATAAGGTATGTTGGACATAGATTCCATGCCTCCAGCGAGGCAAACATCCTGCGCGTTGGTTTCTATTGTCTGCACAGCTAAATTAACAGCCTTTACACCAGTAGCGCATACTTTATTAATGGTAGTACAGATTGTACTATCAACTAGACCAGCAAAAATTGCTGCTTGACGTGCTGGAGCTTGCCCTGAGTTAGCTTGACATACCTGACCCATAATAACTTCTTTAATTTCATCTTTGGGGATGTTACAATGTTTTATAGCTGATTTTATTGCTATGCTAGCCAATTCGGGGGCTGATAATGGTGATAAACTACCTTGGAATGATCCTATGGGTGTTCTTACAGCACTTACAATCACAACTTCCTTCAGAGACATATTTTTGGTTCTAAAATGAAGAAAGTTTAATAATTTTCTTTGAAAAAAACATAAAAATCTTACTTTACTTACCTATTTGGTAACTTTTTGAGAACTGAGAGTTAAAACCCAACAAGGACACTGTTATATAACACAATTATCTTATTATCATCATTATAAATCATTTTAAACAAGTTAAACGACTCGAAAATAGAAGTAAATTACATTTAATCAGTTGATAACAAAAAGTTTAATAGTTACAATTGAAATTAACGTTTTTTCTTTTCTGCTTGACTCTTAGAATAATATTTTGTGCCCAATACGTGTATTATTTAATATTCACTTAAATGATATGCAAAAGTGTGAGTGTAGACATGTAAACAATTATTGAACCGATTTTTTATTGCTTTCCACATGGAAATTCATTCGAGATGTGGACAAGTCGATGGTATTTCTAGAGTTATAGACTTATTGTCGTCCAATATTTGTTATACAAAAGTTAGAAACCCTGTGTAGTGGCATTTACATCTAACGAGTACAATTCGGTTGGTTTGCAATTGCATTTCTTAACGCTAACAATACAATTATTTACAATTTACATAGACTACTTCTATGATAGATCAGATCTATGTTTTAGTGACTAAACATTTGACTACGTATTCCTCGAATGTTGATTTTTTCGTCAAGGCATCAATTTGGTTGAAGAATAAATAATTTTCCATATGTTTCATAGCGATATGTACGAAATTAAGTACATTTTTTGACTCTTTTTGACACTCACTTCTCTAAACACTAAAAATATCTGCGTTTATCTTTATAAATCTCCTCGATCTATGGCTTTGTTTAAATCTTCGACTAATCGTCCAAGAACTTCGCGGTATTCTGACTCGGGTGCAAAGACAGTGTCTAAGAATTTTTCATTTGCGAAAAATTGGAAAACGCTATCGATACGCATGAGCGATTTCTCGGTGAGGTGTTTCGACACGACGGAAATAAGACAAGCGTGTGACTCTTGCAGTGCTGTGAGCAGAAAGTTGCGATCGTAGCTGTGATCCACCTCGTAGAAGCTGACGATACTCATTCCGGCCTTTCGGAACTTGTTTTTGAACTGTTCGGCTTGACGTTGTTCTTCTTTACTGAAGAGGTCGTTGCGCTGGGTTACTGCCAGCTTGATGACTACTTTGATTATATTCTTGACTATTTTTTCGGCTTCTTTTTTATTATTTGACTAGAAAATTTCGTAGAGAAATTAAATTTTGCGGAAAAAAATTGGAGTATTGTATTACTTACATATTGTTTTGCAAGCCGGTATAAATTATCCAAAAGTGAAGAGGTGTTGTCGTCTATAAAGGCCTTGGCCACATTCTTGGTAGCCATTCGTGACAAGATCTTCTTCTGGGCGCGCAGGCCGATGTCGCGCGCCTTGAACGCGTTCTCACTCATAACTATACAAAAAAAAACACGAAATATATAAACAAAAACGTTAAATATTTATCAATTACAACTTGTTTCTGTTTTTTGTTTATTGTCAGCCATCTTACACAAAAGAAACGTAGGTAACATAAGTAATATTCAACTACACAGTTGAAAATGAATGTTTTATGTGTAAAATGTGCACATTTGAAGCATTTTCATGATAAGATAAGAAACTTCACAGTACAGTAAAGTGATTATTGCATGTTTGTTGGAAGTGGGTGACGGTGACACCTTTAAAATAAATAAAAAAAATGAAAATAAAACATACCTGGATCCAACATTCCAATATGATAATTGATAGGGAATCAAATCAAATCAAAAGTGTAAATAAAACAATGCACTTTATACGGGGAGGAAAATCCTGTGTGTAAAATAATAATTAAAACATAAACTAATAATGCGATAAGAAATGCAGATAATAAAACTTACATAGACATGAGTTGCACTCGTTGACGATGCACTGATAAATCACCCAACTTTCCAATTCGACGATAGTACTCATCTTGTGCTTATCCAACAAAGTTCTCGGAAGGAATACGTAAGGTGTAATCACCAGCTTTCTTATATAGCTGTCTCTAGAGACATGCGTGCATTTTCTGCACGTGTTTTCCGCTCACGTTGGAAAACAGTTATTGAGACTCTGAAACAATGATGTGAAGTTGTAAGACATACTCGTGATTGTATTATAAACAAGGTTCAAGTACATTTACTCATTGTTTACGTGAAATAATGTATTGAAAAATAGGTTAAGGTAGTAATGTGTATAGTTGGTTGTAGAATCAACCATACATTACTATTACTATATTTTTTGAGTTGTGATTGCTTTATTAGTTATTTATTAGTTATTCATTAGTCAAGTCGATATGATATTGACGTCAATTTGTTGAATTACAAATTATCTCCGGTTGGTACATTAAAATATTCAGATATCAGGTATAATGACGTCATGATTTAGCAGCATATGACACTTATTACGGCCGTGATGTGCGGCAGGTTTTTGTAAGAGGGTTGTAAGTACATGGGAAATGACATTGTGAGCTCGGGGCCGCCGCGAATCGATACCTGCCGTTCGCTACCGCCTCTACCGTCGCCGCCCCTAGCGATAACAACCACCCGTGAAACCGTCGACCGTCATAAACATTGTTACGGCTCGTCCTCGGCTGCCTCACCGAAAAAAAAACGAAGTCAAGTTTTACACAAAGTTCAGGAAACTTTGCACGGAAAAAACTACGTGCATAGTTTGATGTACAGCGTACTTGGCCTGAATATTTTAGTTTTTATTGTGTTTTTCTCTTTGTTTCTGAGTTAGAACTCTAGAAGTCATAATATTTCTGTTTGTTTGTGAGGACAAATGAATGCACTGATGAAATTACGCCGCATTTTATAAAACTGACGTCATTTTTGCATTGCAGTACTTTTATTAACCTAGTTGGTTGTTTTGAATGGTTTTTGGGTCACCTCTCACGCTGCATATGTGAGTTAATTAATGTTTTGTTCGAATTTTAATTTTTTAGACAAGACTCTTCTTCATTTCACATTCTTCAGAGGCATTGAATCGTGGTGATGCGCTTGAAAACACACTCGTTGAAAATAAAATTAAAAATCTAAAATAGCGCCAAACAGAGCGGAAATTATACATTTTGATAATAATTTTGCTTCTACGTGGTGAAAACTTTCCTTTAGTAGCCTTCAAAGTTTGCTCTTCCCAAGGACTCATTATCCTTGCGAACCGTGCAAACGGAAAGTTTCA